GTTGAAGGCTCTGAGGTTACTGAAGCCAGGGCAGCAAAAAATTTGTTCCAGCTGTTCCACATTCCAGATTGGCAGGGCTGGGTTCAGGTGTACGTGCCGTCAGTGACTCAGCAAATTGCAGCGTCATTTCACACACCCATCTAAATCTCAGATCATATGGTTGGCAGTATTCACAAGCCTACAATTATTCAGCCCTGCACAGTAATGTACCTGTGGGAAGCTAATAGAAATAGACTGAATGTAACAGACACATGATCTGAAGAAAAGCTTGTCCTTCGGAGCATATTTCATCTCATTCTACCCTCTGCAATGGACTGAGCAATGACACAATTAGTTTTTGACTCTCAGAAAGTGCTATAGCATTTAATTGTTTGAGGAAATTAATACATTCATATTTTGACTGTATATGTAAATGACACCTAATCTTAAGTGTTTGCCAGACGTGTTTGGAGACGTCTAAGAACAGCTGCTTGGCTTGCAAGTTTCCTTCTTTTTCTCTCTCTCTTTTTTCTTTTTTTAAAATTTGATATATCTTTATTAATTTAAAATAAATACATTTATGAAAAACAGATGTACATACAAGTAAACAAACATACAATCAAATGGTACTGCAAATTTTATAGTGTGGTGGTTTGTTTGATTTGCAAGTTTCCTTCTATATGTCAGACTGAATGGCATTTGTGATGGTGTAACTGTGGATTTTTAAATATATCTGCAATTTACTTTTAGAGTCATCTCTTGTGAAATTGTACTGAAACAATAAATGCTTCATAACGATAATAATGCAGTGTCAGCCATGTGTTTTCGAACATAATCAAAATTGACAGGTCCCTGTCCCAGTGGAATTGCAGCCTGGATTTTGACACTGCATAGAGAACATGTGAGAAAATATAGCTAATTGAATACAAGACCTGAGCTGTACTTTCAGATGCCAAGGTCCTTGTAGCATTATGCACATTATGTTTCCCAGCATAAGCAAAAACGACCTGTTCCCACCCCAGTGGAGCTGACGTAATCATCTTATGCTGGAAGAAAACAAGGGATGCATTTGAGAAAATGCAGAAAGACATGTTTATTTTAAAATGCTAGGATCCTTCCAAGTATGTGTGACAGTTGTTGTTGTTTAGTCGTTTAGTTGTGTCCGACTCTTCGTGACCCCCTGGACCAGAGCACGCCAGGCACTCCTGTTTTCCACTGCCTCCCGCAGTTTGGTCAAGCTCATGCTGGTAGCTTCGAGAACACTGTCCAACCATCTCGTCCTCTGTCTTCCCCTTCTCCTTGTGCCCTCCATCTTTCCCAACATCAGGGTCTTTTCCAGGGAGTCTTCTCTTCTCATGAGGTGGCCAAAGTATTGGAGCCTCACCTTCAGGATCTGTCCTTCCAGTGAGCACTCAGGGCTGATTTCCTTAAGAATGGATAGGTTTGATCTTCTTGCAGTCCATGGGACTCTCAAGAGTCAGTAGATATGGGCATTTCCTTAGCTCTAGGAGAAAAGATCACTCACTAACCTGCCACCCTTTAAATCAGGTCTGGAGGGGATCTTTGGTCCTCCAGATGCTGCTAAACTACAACTCCCATCATCCTCAGCTGTTGGCCTTGCTTGCTGGGGCTGATAGGAGTTGTGGTTCAGCAACATCTGGAGGGCTAAAGGTTCCCCACAACAGCTTTGAATAGCTCCCAAGGAACTCCTAGATGCTACAGTTATATTGCAATCCTACATACGCTCCGCTATGAGAAATGGGGATGAGTGAGTGGCCATCAAGCACTTTGAAGGCAGCTAATTCTCCCCTGGCCTCCTCGCTGGCCCAAACAGGACTAATTTAGCCAGCTAGCCCTGGTGACCATCTAACGTTTATTGGATGAATTTCCCTCAAAATTGATTTTTGAACTTTGAATTTATTGTTATTCACGCTTTTATACTGTATTTATGCTGGGTTTTTTGTTGTTGTTGTATGACAATTAAGTGTTTTAAATTTGTTGTTAGCCACCCTAAGACAAGTTTTCTGAACCAGGAAGGGCGGGGTATAAATAAATTATTATTATTATTATTATTATTATTATTATTATTGGCAGGTAGGCTATTTAGACTTGCAGGCCAGTTTTAAGGAGAAAGCCCCTTCCTGTGCATGGCCAAAGAACGTTACAGGTGGATGAAACTGTTCCAAGCTACTGCTAGTTTAAAAGAGGCACAAAATAATAATCTGTCATTGTATCAACTCCACAGCCATTGGATTTGCTGTAGTGCAATGAAGGTTTGCGTCACCCACCCACCCACTTCTGGTTCTCGGGGGGGGGGAGAGTGATGTGCGTTTCTCCAGCACTAAAATAGCCTTGCACGAGTAGGAGGAACTAAAACAAATTTCCTGTTATAGTTTCACCAATACAGTTGTTCCGTAGGTCCGTTCTTAGCCTGAAACTGTTCTTAACCTGAAGCACCACTTTAGCTAATGGGGCCTCCTGCCGCCGCCACACCACCAGAGCATGATTTCTGTTCTCATCCTGAAGCAAAGTTCTTAACCCAAGGTACTATTTCTGGGTTAGCGGAGTCTGTAACCTGAAGCGTATGTAACCTGAAGTGTATGTAACCCGAGGTACCACTGTACTTTTGTTGCAAAGGACAAGTTTTGGTTTTTTTAAAAATGAAATGTCTTTGGCAGGAGACAGAGCTTCCAGGAAAAGTCTGAGGCCTCTTGAAGTGGCAACCTTGCTACAACAGCGGCAAGAGCCTTGATAGCACAAGGATGGAAGAATGAGGTAATCCCAACGAAAGAACAGTGGCAAGAAAAATTGATGAGCTATGCAGAGCTGGCTAAATTGACTTACAAACTGCGAGAGAAGGACTTTACGGAAGAATGGGAACGTTTTACAAATTATCTAAAAAGACAACAAAATGAATTGGACTCCTTGGCAGGTTTTGAATAAACATACACAAATTTATTGGTTGACAACATGAGAGATAGATAACGTAAGGATATGTATAATTTTAGAGCATGCAGAGAATAATATGTGCTGAGAAATCAAAGAGAGGAGCTGAAGGAAGTCTATGGTGGTGGGAAGGGAGGGATAGAAGGGGGGGAAATAATGGTTATATGGTTTGATAATTTGTTATGCTGAAATTGCTTAATAATTTATTTATTTTTTAAAGTAGAAGTGGCAACCTTGCAGGAGCTAAGAGCAGGTCTCAATCTAGTAAGGGCATGGATCTGTTCAGCCTCTCTGGATGTTAGCATCAAATATTGCCCATGATACAGTCCATATCAAAAGAAAACAGGAGTCCAAAGTGAAGCATCCTATTCGCAGAGTTGCCTGGGAAAACTACTAGGATCTGTGTCCTAGCAAACATACATAAGGTTGCGCTGCATGAAGTACTGGATCGATGCCAAGCCGTGAAAGGGTCTGCAACTGCCAACAAAAAGGATGTTGTTTCTTCCAAACACACCCCTGGGAGAAAGACAAGCTCACTGCAGGAGATTCTGGCCACCAGATCCAACAAAAATAAGCAAGCAATTACAGTGTTGTATTGCAAACATTAAAAAAGAAGAAAACTTGTCTGTAAAACTCCTAACTGAGAGCTAGGAGTTCACCTCCCCCACTTCGTCTTACAGAAAGCAAGAGAAAGTCTGTACAGAACTCAGATTCAACAGTTTCAGCAGGTATTTCAAGTTGTTTTGTGCCTATGTATGGAAACAGCATCTGGTTGGCCAATATGAGACCAAGATGCTTGAACTAGTTGATCCATTGGCCTGACCCGGAAGGCTGTTCTTATGTTCTTACCTACGGTTTTGTTTGTTTTAAAGACTGTATTATTTGATTGGTGAACTGTTTTGATTGTTGTGTAAACCTGCTGTTATGTACTGAGTTGAATAGGATCCAAAAGGCAGCAGTCTGATTGGTCCTAGAACAATAGGGTCCAGAATGCAGCAGTCTGATTGGTCCACAGAAGCCACCCAATCCAACTCCAGGTGGAAGTGAATCTGCAACCTGATTGGCCTACAGGTGAATCCTGGAATTAGCCAATCACGTGGGGCCCATTGTGTAAATAATGTATATAAAGCAGACATTCTGCGGGAACTTCCATTCCTCCTCACCACCACTCTGAGCTGAATAAAGAGCACGAAATCCACTCTCGACTCCCAAGAATATTTCACCTGCTGTGGGATCTACAGTGGTACCTCGGGTTACATACGCTTCAGGTTACATACGCTTCAGGTTACACACTCCGCTAACCCAGAAATAGTGCTTCAGGTTAAGAACTTTGCTTCAGGATAAGAACAGAAATCGGGCTCCGGCGGCGTGGCAGCAGCAGGAGGCCCCATTAGCTAAAGTGGTGCTTCAGGTTAAGAACAGTTTCACGTTAAGAACGGACCTCTGGAACGAATTAAGTACTTAACCTGAGGTAATTTCTCGAAAAATGAGAAACTGAAAGGAAACCGAAATTTTGCCTATGTGAGGTTTGCCTTGGAACAAGGGAAGGCACCAGACTAACCTGACTCTTTGTAGCTGACTGAGGCAGGGAGAGTGGAAGCTGTTTACTTTGAGGGGAAATAAGGCTGCTTTGCAGTCTGACACTGTCTGTCTCAGGGATTTTGCCTGCTCCCGCAGGCCTCCATAACTATATTTGTAGATAAACAGATTCCACTAAAATGCCATCAATCGCCAGCACTCGCCTCGCAGGGGAACTGACCCTGTGAAACTCCCTACCGCTTGGGAACAGGGGGACTGTCATGAACAAGAAAACAATATTTTTTTTATTTTGCCTCATCCTGCTGCTGCTATTAGAACAGTATACATTCCAACTCCCAATTTACTAGAGGCAGTCTCTCTCCCCGGACAATGCTTGCTCCTATTTTTTTGTTTTTTGAAGATGCCTTCTTTTCTTTTGTTTCACTTTTTCGGTAGTTGAGAGTGAGCTGCTAGATTTCTTTGGGCGGGGGGAATGCATTTTGTTGCTTGAGAGACTGCATTTGCCTGCCGCCACCCTCAAACCTGAGGTTCCCCATTCTATTGTGTGTGTGTGTGTGTGTGTGTGTGTGTGTATGTATATATATATATATATATATATATATATATATACACACACCAAAAGAGCCTTTGCCCCCAGCTGGCTTTTAAATCACTGCTGGACAAGCTAGGACAGACAACAAACCCTTTGCACCTCTCCTCTGTTTATTTTAAGCTGTCAACTTTAAGATTTGAAAATAAGGGATCAGCAAACGCGAAAATAAGGGATCAGCAGCCTCACTTGTCCTGAGGACGGTCTACGGGATATCTAACAATCCGGGATAGCCTCGGGAAGCAGCGAGAAACGGTGCTGGAATAAGGGAATTTCCTGCCAGAAAAAGGAAAGGTTGACATCTACGGGGTGGGTGTCCAATCCTGGTACAGTGGTACCTCGGGTTAAGAACTTAATTCGTTCCGGAGGTCCGTTCTTAACCTGAAACTGTTCTTAACCTGAGGTACCGCTTTAGCTAACGGGGCCTCCTGCTGCCGCCGCGCTGCTGTCACACGATTTCTGTTCTCATCCTGAAGCAAAGTTCTTAACCCGAGGTACTTTTCATGAGTTAGCGGAGGCTGTAACCTGAAGCGTCTGTAACCTAAAGCATCTGTAACCCAAGGTACCACTGTATTCTGTGAAATGTTGGCATGTTTAAGGGCCCGTGTTCAATGTAGCTGAGGCCAAAGCAGTGCAAAGAAGAACTGGCCAGGAACAGAAAACGCCGTCATGCTTTACAAGACATTTTGTAAGGGGGACTATATAAATTATTGTAAAATGATTTAGGAAGGAAATAATTACGAAATGAAGTTTAAAAGCATTAATTATAATAATAAAATGCAAGATCAGGTAGCGAATTTGAAAATCACTAGACAGGATTGATGGAAGTCTCAGGCTAAAATAGCCAAAATGAGGATGGTGTACTGTGATATGAAGTTTTCTTTGGAAAACATATGCAAAAATTAATAAAAATGATGAAAGAAAGAAAGAAAGAAAGAAAGAAAGAAAGAAAGAAAGAAAGAAAGAAGAAAGCTCTGCCATGCATTGTGAGGTTGGGAAGGGATATTTTCCGAGATCTTTCATGGGCCCTATTGGAGGTACTGACAAGTAAACAGAAGCCCACAGGCACCGTGCTAGTGACTCGTGAAGATACAGATTTCCCCCCAATATGATCTCTCCCACATGCAATCTATTCTAGGCACTTTCGGGCTGTAACACCTCATTCTACTGCATGCGTAGTTCTACTCCTTAGTTGCTAGTCCTGCAAAAGGCAACACTTGTGTGTGTGTGTTTTGGGGAGGGGGGGTTGGCTGCAGCCTTCAATATGAACCCTCTTCCGCACTGAATCCCTTTGATTGCATTTTTATAATTCCTCCACCATCTCTTAACGATTTGCCAATCCCAAACCACCTGTAGTTGCAAGTGAAGGGGGTACTGGGATCGATTTCTTTCTTTTTTGTTAATGAATTGAAAAATACGGGGGGGGGGGTGGAGAGACGAGCACCGGAAGCTTCTTCCAGCTTGCCGTGAAGCCAGACAGTTGCCTCAGACGCCTCCTTGCTTTCTCCCACCCATTTGTATGCAGCGAAGCTCACATGTTCACGCTCTTCAGCGTGTGACCTACACTAGAGAGAGAAAGAGTGAGAGAGACCAGCCAATTGCTGGACTGCCTTGAAGGGGGAAGGCAGCCAATCAGGAAGCCCATGCTCAGTGTTTCTAAATTAAGCAACACAACCGGGGCCAGGACAGACGTGGGAGCTGAGCTTCATAAATCAAATTTCCCTGCAGTGATAGAGCCGTGATGCAATTGAGGAGGCAAGACGTATCCCTCATGAATCCATTCACATGTTTTGGGCCTCGTGTCGATGCTTCTCAGCGCAGGCCCCTCCAGGAACAGGTGCTGCTGCTGCTGCTGCTACAACTCCACAAAGAGAATGTAGCAGATATATAGGATTAACCCCGAGTTCTTCATTCATGCTGTATCCTCAGGCAATGCCTTAGCTAGACATGTCTTTGCCTGGGGCTGGATCCCAGTCCTGCATCCTTCCTCCTGCGGGATGCGGCGACACCAGCAACGAAAAGCAAAACACACAATATTAGCACTTTCTGAGGGCAGTACCGGTTTCAGTTCCGCTAAGAGCAATCAGACGCATTGTCTGAATGCCGTTAAGCTATAATCAGTGGATGAATGCACAGTCGTTGCAGACTACGAATGAGATCCTGAGTCCATGAGAGTGAAGGCAAACGTGCCGACCAAAATTAGGCTTGTGGTGAAGATCTATTCAGACTCTTAAACTGAATGAGAGCTGTAGCTCAGTGGCATGCCATCTGCTTTCGATGCAGAAAGTTCCAGATTCTATCCCTGGAATCTCTAAGTAGGGCTGGGAGAGACTCTGAAGATCCTGGAGTGCCTCTCTGGTCGGTGTTAAAATATTGAGCGAGATGGACCAATGGTTTGGTTCAGTATAAGGCAGCCTTAAAGGTAAAAAGGTAAAGGTACCCCTGACCATTAGCTCCAGTCGTGACAGACTCTGGGGTTGCGGCGCTCATCTCGCTCTATGGGCCGAGGGAGCCGGCATACAGCTTTCGGGTCATGTGGCCAGCATGACTAAGCTGCTTCTGGCGAACCAGAGCAGTGCACAGAAACGCCGTTTACCTTCCTGCCGGACTGGTACCTATTTATCTACTTGCACTTTGACGTGCTTTCGAACTGCTAGGTTGGCAGGAGCAGAGACGGAGCAATGGGAGCTCACCCCGTCGCGGGGATTCGAACTGCCGACCTTCTGATCAGCAAGTCCTAGGCTCTGTGGTTTAACCCACAGCGCCACCCGCGTCCCTAAGGCAGACTTATGCTCAGTCAAACTGCCAAAGTCGAATGCTCTGCTTGTAAAACCTTTGATGCAAGTTTCAAAAAACAAAACATGAAACAACAACCTGTCTTTGCTTCAGTTATGAATCTAGAGAAGCTTCCAGATGGGGGGTTAACTTACAAACATGTCATGGAGAAAATGGCAGCAGGTCATTGGCAACTAAGGGGGCTTCCAGACTGTCGCTGTTTTTTGTTGTGATTCAGTAGCAGACCTGCAAATTCAGATTGCACAATTGCAGTTGATATGGTGCTCTTGTACAATAAACCTACTCCCCCTTCCATTTTTTTTTATTTTTTACTTTTTTCAATAAAGAAAGTGCGCTGGGAATTGTGGGATTTCAATTGTTTGGTGCAATATTGTATAACCTCACTGCACATGAATCAGAACAAATTATTGATGTATAGCTGACATCATCTAACCTCTCTGCAAACTTTGTGCAAACAATCCAGGGTGGGTTCTCAATGAACAGGTTGTCTAGAAGTGACCTTTCCAGATATTCCCCCAAAAAGTTAAAGCCGGATTAAACTAGGCGTGGGGTGGGGAATATGGACTTTGATGCATGTTTGAACAAGAAGTATCATCCGTAAGCAGCACTGACTCTACAATAAACACCTACTTATAATAACTCTAGATTTAGAAAAGTTTTTATACTATTGGCCAGCCATCTGGCAGTAAAATAATTTTTCCATAACCAAAGCACTGCATTAATTTTTGTTTATTTTTTGGCCAGCAAGGAGAGAATAATGATCAGGAGCAAGTATCCTGGCAACAGCATTAATGTGTTTGGGAATGGGATGTAAATGTAAGCAATTTCCCTTCTGCACAGGCCCCTAAGGTTCTCCTTTGCAATGTGCAGAAAAGCAGTTTGCCGCTTTTCATTCTAATTAAAGGGGTTTCAGTGAGAAGAGTCCTGCTCCCCATTCCTCTTGTGTTGTGTAGTCCTCAATTTGTATGCATTTGCCAGGACAAATTATCTGCATGAACTCTCAGGGGTGAACTAGGCTAGCTGAAGGTAAGTGTCCTTTGGTGAGACCACTTCTATTTCCATGTATCCCTTAGATGAGCAGTAGCTGTGCTCTTATTGGTGCTGGATGGCTGCCATTTTAATTTCCCACAATGCACCAGAAAGATGCTACATTGTGGGCACTGTGGGAAATAAAAATGGCAGCTACCTGGTGCTTATCAAAGCACTGATTTTTAAGAGGCTCCAGGTCTGGTGTAGTCTAAAAAGCTACCCAGGAGTGCCACATAAAAACAGTCTCTGGCTCCTCAAGGGAGCCAAAATGCTGCTCTTAACCCAGTAGCTGTCATTTATCCTGGCAGTTTTTGCTGCTCTTTGTCTGAAGCCTACTCATTAAGAGAATCAGTTTTTTTAAAAAAACCAAAAGACAAGGTCGGATCAATGTTATAGGGTTGATAGGCTTCAGAACATCAATGTGACATCCTGTGATTTGAGAAAACAATGAACTGACATCCATTCATTTCCAAACATGTCACTTAGGATCTGAAAATGTATCCATTCAACCGAAATGTATCCATTCCACAAGTCACAGTTAAATAAGTAGTTTTACATTCCAAGCAAATATTCTGTCCCAGAACCCTGTCAGAGAGCGCACCCAGAATGAAATGTTACTGTTTGTGGGAAATCCTTTTGGTACCTTAGGGCTACTTCATAGTTACCGTTCACATCATTAAGCACAGAGAAATCTTCCTCTCATATTGTTGTTTAGTCATGTCCGGCTCTTCGTGACCCCATGGACCAGAGCACAACAGGCACTCCTGTCTTCCACTGCCTCCCGCAGTTTGGTCAAACTCATGCTGGTAGCTCTCACATACCTCTCATATAGATGGGGAGTTTCTACATTTCTCCAGCTACTTCTTGCAGAAGTATTCTGATAGGTTGCATTTATTTATTGTTTGTTTGTTTGTTGTATTTATTTATTAATTTTCTATACTGCCCCTCACTGTTGGATCACAGGGCGGTTTACGACATAAAAGCACAAAAATACATACCATAGTAACAAAGAAAAACAATAACCCCCAGTATATACGTCGTAAACAGTTTTAAAGGCCATAGATTGCTTAATTAGCCAAAGGCCCTGGGAGAAGAGGAATGTTTTTGCCTGGCGCCTAAAGATATGTAGTGAAGGTGAGTCTTTGTTTGGAGTAGACAGTAATATTCCGTTAAACAAAATATTCCTCTTTCTTGGATCTGACCTGACTT